CACCATCATCATCATCATCATCATCATCATCATCATCAGCATCATCATCATCATCATCAACATCATAATCATCATCATCAGCATCAGCATCAGCATCATCATCATCATCATCATCATCATCATCATCATCATCATCATCATCATCATCATCATCATCGGCATCATCATCATCACCATGAACGGCATAATCATCCTAACCATCACCACCACCACCAGCTTAAGCATCAGCATCAGCATCAGCATCAGCATCATAATGAGCCGCATCATCATCATCAGCATCATCATCCTCATCATCATAATCGTCATCATCTTCATCATAGTCATCATCATCTTCATAATCATCATGATCAGCATCATCATCAGCATCCTCCTCCTCAACATCTTCATCAGCATTATCATCATCAGCATCACCATCATCATCCGCAGCATCATCCTCCTCCTCATCATCATCGTCATCATCAGCATCAGTCTAGTCAGAATCATTATCATCACCACCACCACCATCATCACCACTCACATATAATCATCAGCATCAGCATCACAATCATCATCATCTGCATCATCATCACCGTCATCATCATCATCATCATCGTCATTGGCAGTGTCATTGTCATCGTCATCGTCGTCAGCATCGTCACCATTATCGACATCATCAGCATCGTCATCATCATCACTATCATCATCATCATCATCAAGATCATCACCATCATCATCAACTGCAGCAACATCGCCATCGCCACCAGCATCATCATTAGCACCAGCACCAGCACCATCAGCATCACCATCATCACCATCAACATCATCATCATCATCATCACAATCATCATCATCATCATCATACTCATCATATTCATCATCATCATCATCAGCATCGACATCATCGTCACAATCATCATCAACATCATCGTCATCAGCAGCACCGTTGCCATCATTGTCATCATCATCGCCATCGTCATCGTCGTCAGCATCAGCATCAGCATCACCACCACCACCATCATCCTCCTCATCATCCTTCCCCCTCCTGTCTCTGTGTCCTCCCTCCCTCATCTCTCTCTCTCTCTGCCTCCTGCCTCCTTTTCCTCTCTTCCCCTCGTCTCTCCTCCCTCCTCCTCCTCCTCCTCCTCCTCCTCCTCCTCCTCCTCCTCCATTCCTTTTCCGTATAGATCCGTAAGGGCTTCGCCCCATGCCGCCGGCCCCCTTGTCTCGGATAGTGGAAGATGCAAAAGCTAAATCATGAGGTCTGGGCGCCGCCGTGAAGCAGTGTCGGGACCCGTTTGTTTTTCGACCCTGACCCTACGGATCATCGTCACGGGTGCCACCGAATTTCAGAAATGTGGCAAATCTTTTGTGTTTTTGGACCCTGACCCTGCGGATCTGCATGAGGGGTGCCACCGAATGCCAGAAATGTGGCAAATCCCATATGTTTTTGGACCCTGACCCTGCCGATCTGCGTGAGGGGTGCCACCGAATGCCAGAAATGTGGCAAATCCCATGTGCTTTTGGACCCTGACCCTGCGGATCTGCGTGAGGAGTGCCACCGAATTTCAGAAATGTGGCAAATCCTTTGTGTTTTGGGACCCTGACCCTGCGGATCTGCGTGAGGGGTGCCACCGAATGCCAGAAGTGTAGCAAATCTTTTGATTTTTGAACCCTGACGCCGCCGATCTGCGTGAGGGGTGCCACCGAATTTCAGAAATGTGGCAAATCCCTTGTGTTTTGGACCTTGACCCCGCCGATCTGCGTGAGGGGTGCCACCGAATGCCAGAAATGTAGCAAATCCTTTTACTTGCAGCCTGACACCGCCGATCGTCGTGAGGGTGTCACCGAGTTTTTGACACGTGGCAAATCCCATCTATTTTTGGACCCTGACCCCGCCGATCTGCGTGGTGGGGAATTAATTTGTTTACCCACCCCAGCAATTCAGAGCACACTCTCAGGGCGTGGTACACATGCCCGTTTTGGGCCTCTCCCCCTCGCGCGGTCCATCAACAAGGAAAAGTAAGCAGCAAGAAGCAGAACTGTAACAAGGAGCAGTAAGCAGCAAGAAGCAGAACTGTAACAGTGGAAACTGGAAGCTGCAACTGGTACAGGAAACTGCGAAGCTTCGGCCTACAGCCTGGTTGCCCCACAAGGGGGCCGGCGGATAACTTCTCCCTGTCGCACCCCGAGGCCAGTTTTTAGGGCGGGCTGCGCGTTTCGCCTGAGACTTCCTCATCACTCATGACCCTGAAGTTTAAGATATGGCGACAGCTTCACAGATGTAGGGCGTGCCGTTTTCACAATGTGTCTCTCGCCTTAGCGCCGCGCACATTCGTGTCAAACAGTAGCAAGAGTTCCACTGGTTGAGGGCGGGCCGTTTTCAAAATGTGGCTCTTGATTTAGCGCTGCGCACATTCGCATTCAAAATTTGCAAGATCTTCACGGGTTGAGGGCGGTTCCTTTTCAAAATGTGGTTCTCGCCCCGGCGCCGCGCGCATTCGTTGTTAAAACTTGTAAGGGCTTCACAGATTCCCATGATCAGCGTACCAGACATGGTTTTGTGTTTTGGAAGGACTCAGGATTATGAGGGCGCAACAGTTACGTTGATTCGCGATGTTGAAATTCCAGGAATGGCGTTCTGGCACGGTTCAGGATCGCTGAGACGCAACAGTCAGATCGATCCGTGGCGTTGGAATCCCGAGAACAATGCTTTGGCATGCTTCCGGGTCTTCAGACGGTTGTCTTCCGACGAGGTAGTGGGTATGAATCGTTGTAGGGGCCTATGAAGAGGGAGCTTGGAGGGAGGGTTGATTCCAACATCGCTGATGACTCTTGGGTTTGCACTGGTCCTCCTCCTCCCTCCTCCTCCTCCTCCTCCTCCTCCTCCTCCTCCTCCTCCTCCTCCTCCTCCTCCTCCTCCTCCTCCTCCTCCTCCCCCTCCCCCTCCCCCTCTTCCTCCCCCCCCTCCCCCCTTGGGCTGCCGCCCGCGCCTCTCCCCGTGGGCGGGCGGGCAGCCCGAGCGGGGGGGCAGCCGCAGCAGCGCCGCCCGCTGTGATGGGGGGTCCAGGTCGGCGTCGTCCCCAGACCCCCTCGAGTAGTGAAAAAATCATGACGGGAGGTTTTTCGCCATTTTCGGCCTCTGGGGGCCCTCACTGGGCCTCGGGAACGTCAAAAAACGACTCAGGATGACAAACCGGTCCTGGGGAAGGGGTCGAGAACTTTGGGGTCGACGTAACGAAAAAAACATTACGTCGGGGGTCTGGGTCCGAGGGCCTCGGCCTCGGCATGGCTCCTCCCACACGACGTCGCCGGCGAGGACGACGACGACGACGACGACGACGACGACGACGACGACGACGACGACGTCGCCGGCGAAGACGGCGACGACGACGAACGCCGACGACGAACGCCGCCGACGAACGCCGCCGACGACGACGACGACGACGCACGTCGACGACGACGACGACGACGACGACGACGACAACGACGACGAGCGTCGACCACGACGACGACGACGACGACGACGACGACGTCGACCACGACGACGACGACGACGACGATGACGTCGACGACGACGACGACGACGACGAACGACGACGTACGGCAACAGAGGCGGAACATTTGCATCGGGTTCGACATGTGGCCTAAATTGTCCTCAGCAAAGTCGAGAAAGTTTGCAGGCAAGCCAACCCGAAGCCAACGCCCCCCCCGTTAAGGCCTGTTTTCCTCACTTGGTGAATTGGCATTATCATTATCATTATTCTCTCCCCTCCCTCCTCTCTACTTCCTCTCCTCCAGCCTCTGCGTTCCCTCCGCTCTCCTTCCTCCTCCCTCCCAGGCCTCCTTCTCATCCTCTTCCTCCCTTTCTCATTCTCCTCCTCCTTCCGTCCTTCCTTTCTACCTTCCTTCTTTCCTTCCTTCGTTCCTTTCTTCCTTTCTTCCTTCCTTTGCCTCCGTCCTCCTCCTCCACCTCCCCGTCCTCATCCTCCTCCTGGAAGCTAAGCAACAGATGACAGGACTGCTCGGTGAGTTGATTTCTCACAGCCCGTCGAATACTGCGAATCGCGTTGCTAAGGCGATGGCAGCTTTCATTGATTCCGAGGTGATTGAGACCCGCATGCGCCTTGCGCTTGCCGAGATGGACCTGGGGGGGGCTCGTGCAGCTCCTGCGCGCGCCCCAGGGCCTGGCCGCCCTCGTGGCGCTTCTGACTCCGATTCGGCCGGGGCGGCTAGCTACGGTGAGGACGCGGTCGACGCCGACGGCCGCATCACGACTGCGCACTGGTCGAGACGAGAGTGCAGGTCCCCTCTGTGGCCGCGGTGCTCCTGTGGCTCCCCCGGGTCTCCGCCGTCGGCGGCAGCTGGGTGCCGGCGTGGGCCCGGCTCTGCCGCCGCCGCTTGGACGGCGCTCCCGTGTGAGGCGTCGATGCGTCGGGCTTCCGCCTCCGTGCACCCATCCCTTCGGATCTGTGGATGTTCTGTGCTTCAAGAGTGGTGGGATGTCGGAGCTCTTCCCTCACGCTCGGCTCCTCCTCCTCCTCCTCCTCCTCCTCCTCCTCCTCCTCCTCCTCCTCCGCCTCATCCCTCCCCCCTCCCAGTCGTCCTCCCCCTTCTCCTCGACAAGGTGGGCGGGCGGAGCCTCCTCCCGGGCCTCCCGGGCCTCCAAATCCCCCTGCTCCCCCCACTCTGCGCAGAAAGAAGAAACCGATATGACCATCAACTGTCGGAGCTCCGCACGGATTCCATGGTGTGAACGCCACGCGCCCCCAGCGCGCCCCCTCACGCCATGAAGGCGAGCTCTCAGTTTTCGGTCCCCTCTCCTCCCTCCTCCCCTGAGATCCGGCGTAGCGCAAAAGTTGCAACATCGTGAAAATCTGCGACCGGAGCCCCGGACCCCATCTTTCTGCGCCATTTCTCGAGCCGCATCGATCTGCGAGGGTCCCGGGGCCCGAACAATTAGGGCGAAAGCGCCCGGCTCGGAAAAATGGAGTCGCCAGGATCTCGGGGGCTCCCTGTCCCGCAGCCGTTCCGATCAAAAGCCCCAGTGCCCGCAGCCGCCATGGCCGGGCCACCCAATACACGCAAGCCCCAGCGCGCCTAGCCCTCCGCCGCGGCATGTGGCGCCCGCTCGCCCCCGAGGACGGCCGCGGCCCCGGCGGCCCCCCGCCCCCGCCGGGCGGCCGCCGCGGGCGCCTGCGGTGGGCACCCCTGGCCGCGGCGGCGCTCCTCTAGGGGGCCACATGCGAACCCTACCCCTGCGCCCCAACGATTTCTGAGGGGGAGGGTGGGGTTCACTTCGCTCGGGAGCTCCCGCACGAAGCGAACCCCACCCTCCCCCGCAGAAATCGTGGGGGGCAGGGGTATAGGGTTCGCATGTGGCCCCCTATCCTCCTCGCCGCGCTGGCCGCGGCGCTGGGCCCCCTCCTCGGGGGGCCCCGCCGCGCGGCGGCCCCGGCCCGAGGCCTCGCGCGCCTGTCCGCGGCGGGGCCGCCGCCGCCGCGCCTCGCCGTGGCGTCGATCTTCGCGCCCCACATGGTGCTGCAGAGGCTCGGCTTTTTCGAGTCGGGCGTGTGGCCCCCTCTACCCAGACATCGGGCGCCTCGAAAAAATCGAGACAGAGGTTTTTCGTAGTTGTTGGCCTCTCGGGGCCCTCGCCGGGCCTCGGGACCGTCAAAAAACGACTCGGGATGAAAAACCGGTCCCAGGGAAGTGGTCGGGAGGTCAGGGGCCCGCGTCTCGAAAAGATCGAGACGTCGGATGTCTGGGTATACAGGAGGGAGATACGCAAAAGCAGTCCAAGGATGGTCTGGGGCCGATGTTTTGTGGGCCATTTCTGCCCCTGTGCAGTGGGCATGTTTTTTTTGTATTTGTGATTTTTCGCCCAAAATCCCTCTGCAGGGGGACACGCCCGACTCAAGGCTCGGCGAAGCAGCCGCGGCGCGGGCGCGAGCCTCTGCGGAGCTCCCCCGCGCGGATCCCCGGAGCTCCCAGCGTATATATGGCACGTTTCTTTTTGTTCGCGCCGGGCGCTCTCGCCCAGCTTCGGGCCCCCCGGGGCCCTCGCCGCTCAGGGATTGTAACTAATCAGCTTTATCTAGTCCTTGTCCTGTAGCCAGTGTCCTGCGAGTCATCGCCCCCCTTAAAAGTGTCCTAAACTATTTGCGCCCCGCGTTTGCGCAGGGGTTGGGTACGTCGCCAGGGTAATTTTCGCGCCGGGCGCTCTCGCCCAGCTTCGGGCCCCCCGGGGCCCTCGCAGGTCGACTCGGCTCGAGGGATTGGCGCAGAAGGGTCCGGGCAGGGTCTGCTTGGGGCTCTGGTGGTGGTCTTCGCGCTGCATCTCGCATGGTGGTTTTCGCGGTGGTTTTCGCGGTGGTGCTGGTTCGCGTGGGGTTCCGGTGGTGGATTTCGCGGTGCTGCAATTTGTCGCAGCGTCGGCTCTCACGGAATCTCTCGGAGCTGCGCTGGAGCCCCCAGGCGGCTCCCTGGGCGCAGCCCCTGGCGCGCTCCGCGCGCCAGGGAGGGGGGACAGCCAGCGCCGGTCCAGGCGATCCGCGCGAGGCTCCGGAGGCTTGAGCGTGCTTGTGCTGCGGCTGCTTCCCCGAAGGGGCGAGGCCACCTTGCTGTGGGGCGTGGCGAGCCCAGGATCCGGGCCTGTGATCGTGCGGCATTCCACGTCTCCCAAATTTGGGTCCGAGCGGATGGGTCAGAAAGACAGTTATCGGGGTGGGAGAAATGATCATGCCATCCGTATTACTAAGTCGGGCATGTCCCTCTACAGGACGAAAATCCAAAAATATGGAAGAAGTTTTGGGACGATCTTTTGAGTATTTTTGGTAATTTTTGAATATTTGTTTAACTGTTTTTTGCTTCGTCCAAAATCAGCCTGTAGGGGGACATGCCCGACCTAACCGTATTACCGCTTGTGCTGAATGTGCTTATTGCACAGTCGTGCCCTGTATCTTCCCAACCCCTTCTGTCTTTCTCAATGGGGTCGGAAGATCGCGCCGCATCGCCGATGCATCGGCGACGCCGCTCGATGCGGAGCCCGATTTTCTCCGCGCCGACGGTGCCGATGCATCGCAGGCGTCGCCGACGCATCGAAGATGATGCATCGGCGATTCGGCGCGATCCCCCGAACTTCGTCTATATTCGCGGAGGCTTCGCCGACGCATCGCCGATGCATCGGCGATGCGGCGCGATCCTCCGACCCCGTCTATACTCGCGGACCCCAATTGGGAGGCCTCCAGGTATGGTGCCGCCGAGGTGCGGTCAAGCGTGGACGATGCCACCGGGCACTGGGAGGCCAAGCTTCCCGCCATGGATGCCAGGTCGGAGCCGAGCAACCTGACTATCGAATCCACCACCAGCAGCTTGATGCTGCAGGACGTGGTTGTGGGCGACGTCTACCTGTGCGCAGGAGGAAGCCAGATGCAGTACGATCTGCCGACCGTGGCCGACGCTCTTCGGAAGCGGGGGGAGCCCGTGGACTCTCAGAGGCAGTGGGCCAGAGAGCACGCGAGCAGCGTCCGCATCGTCGAGGTCGCCAGGGCATACAGGAGGCTGGCCCAGGACAATGCCACCCTCATGATCCCGTGGCAGCGGATGGACCACCACTTCAGGCTGGAGTTAAGTCGGGCCTGTCCCTCTACAGGAGGAAAATTCCAAAGTAGGCAAAAAATAGTCTGGGGACGAACGTTTGATCATTTTTCAAGTATTTTTGAGCAGCTTCTGGCTATTCTTCATTTTTCGCCCAATCTCCCCCTGTAGGGGGACATGCCCGACCTAAGGCTGGAGTTCGGCGCGCTGTGCTACTTCTTCGGGGCCGAGCAGGTGAAATCCCGCCCAGACGTGCCCGTCGGCCTGGTGGTGTCCGCTTACCCGTCCACTTTTGCCGAGCAGTTCGCTCCACCCGAGGCCTTGGAGGAGTGTGGAGTGGACATCTCGTACACCGGCAAGTTGAACGAGTGGTGGTCCCCAAAGGATTCTGGGCCTCCCAGCTGGGGTCCGAGAAGAGGCGATCGGAGGATCGTGCCGCGTCGCCAGTGCATCGGCGATGCAGCTCGATGTGGAGCCTGGCTCTCTCCGCACCCGCGTGGCCGATGCATCGGCGACGTCGCCGATGCAGCGCCGACGCATCGGTGACGCATCGTGGACTCGGCGTGATCCTCCGACCCCATCTACTCCAGATTTCGTCATAAAAGGGAGGGGGTCTAGACCCTCCAAGACAAGCCATTTCAGACCTCCCCCGTGGGAGCACCCTCCAAAACATCCTCCCCAGACCCCCCAGGCCCTCCAAGATAGCCTGGAAGAGACCCCCCCCCGAAATGAGACCCCCCTCCCTTTATTACGAAATCTGGAGTACTCTGACCCTATTTGGGAGTCCTCAAAAGGATCCAGGAGTCCTTTGGAACAGCATGATACACCCGCTGACGTGGCTGCCTGTGAAGGCATTCCTGCTTGAGATGAGGCCGACCTTTGCCAGCAGCACGGGCTGCCTGCTGCCTGCGCTTTTGCGCCACTGGCGATCGCAGTGGCACAACAGCGGCAAGGACTCAGACATCAGACGTCATGTTTTCTTCACAGCGTCGACACCCAGAGGTCTCGACTCACTCCTTCGGACCGTCTCTTCATCCCTATACTCGTTGTTTGACGCTTCCAGGGCCCGGCAGGGGTTCCAAGAGGCCCACAGCTGCCAGAAACCCTCCCGTCGTGATTTCCTCGTGGCCCTCGACGGGGTCTGGGAGCAGCGGCGAGGACATCCCGATGGTGGCGTTCCAGCCGGGCTGCGGCCCGGCGACCGTGCACGCCGACCAGCTCCGATCGGTGACCGCCGCGTTCCTGCAGGAGCCGCGGACGGCCGTGGCCGTCACGGCAGACCTCTGCGACCCAGACAGGACGTCGTGGGCGGGAAGCCGAGACCTCGCGTCGCGAAAAAATGACGACGGGCGTTTTTGTGTTGTTGTTGCTGTTGTTGCTGTTGCTGTTGCTGTTGCTGCTGCTGTTGTTGTTGTTGTTGGTGCTGTTGTTGTTGCTGTCGCTGTTGTTGTTGTTGTTGCTGTTGCTGATGCTGTTGCTGTTGTTGGTGCTGTTGTTGGTGCCGTTGTTGTTGTTGTTGTTGCTGGTGTTGTTGTTGTTGGTGGTGGTGCTGTTGTTGTTGCTGTTGCTGCTGTTGTTGTTGTTGCTGTTGTTGCTGTTGCTGTTGCTGTTGCTGCTGCTGCTGTTGTTGCTGTTGCTGTTTATGTTGTTGTTGTTGCTGTTGTTGTTGTTGTTGTTGTTGTTGTTGTTGTTGAACATTATTAATTCTAAAGAATAATTATTGTTGGGACCCCTGGTGCACGGCCCCCCTGCGCCGCCTAGGCCGCAGCTACATTTTCATCATTTTCGTGAGGAAGCCTCAGGTAATTCGATGTGATCAAGATCCGGTTGTTTTGTTGTAATCCGCTTTCCCTTGCAAAAAACACTATAAAATGACATT